CAGCCCCCTGCTTAATCATCCCGTTTTTTTTTTTTCTTTTTTTTTTTTTTTTTTTTTAATTCTACCACTGCCTCTCTCTCTCTCAGACTATTCTCCATGACAACAGACAAAGAAAAGCAATGAGAAAACACATCGCCTCTATTGGAGGCTCCACTATTTCCCCATCCTACATGGGCCGCCCTTCGTGTCTTCATTCCAAAGAAAGTAATGGCCTGTTTAGGACATGTGGAAATAACATATGGCCTCAGTGAATCCTTGGTCACACAGTCACACTAATTACTTTCCTTTAGAGCTACCCAAAGTGCTATGAAGAAAAACAAATATGAATCAGCTCTCCTTGCACAAAACCTATGTATTGGGGCAATTTCACATCTTTGCCATGATACTACAGTATGGTCATTTCATCTTCAACCAACATAAAGTTGTACACCACGAAGAGCAATGCAGAGACAGGATGTGGCTCTCTGTAAACAACTGAGGGAGAAGTAGATCTTTCCACTAACCTTATTGATGATCTAAAGCAAAATAACATTGTCTACGGCTCATCTTTCATGAAAGGGTTAATATCCATATTATGTAAATCATCTGCTAGGGCCTTCTTTGTATACAGACTGAGGAAAAAACTGATTACCTAGTAAGAGCTCAGGGTAGCAAAAAGAATTTGCAAATGTACATTTATTGTTCAGCAGCAACGATGGTATCCTGCTGCAGGTTGACAGGGGTGATGGATCCCCATCTCTTCATATTTTGTGGGAGGAGTTGGGAAATTAATTGGAGAAGGAAGGGCAGCTTCCCCAGCCAGTACTTCTTTTAGTTTGCCTGGATAAAATCAGTGTTAAATTTGTAATATAATAATTGCTGAGTGAGATTTCATGAATTAAGATACATTTCTGATTTTCTTTCCCAGTGTTCCTGAAAGCTGAAGTAAATTTTCAACAAACTAATCCTAAGCCTGGAATTCAGCAACATTTAAATGTTTTTAGTGCTGTTCAGAAGCCCAGCATCATCTTATAAAAAGTATGTTTTGCTCTGCACAAGAGAAACCTCTAATTCCAGACTGCAGCAATGAAATCCACTGTTACTCACAAAATCGCCTTTCCAAATTTTGTTGACTTATGAACAAACAAAAGCAACCTCTTTCTCCAAAGCACCGATGTTTGGAGTCTGATAGATGTTTTATGAAATAAACAAACAGTTTTCAGTAAAACTGTTTTTGTCTTAAACAAATAGAAAACCTATATTTAAATGAATCTACCACAAAATTCATAAAATGCCTCACCAGCAGGATTTGGATTCAGTTTTCCATAAGAATACAACACATTAGCAAGTCTGCAGTGGCAAGCCTTTCCTCAAGAAGTAAATTAAAGTTTCCTCCTCTGAAAACTGGCTTATGAGAGTCAACAATCTTTCATTTCAGTGAACATGGGTGAACATTGATTAGGAGATACTTTTAAGTTTCACTCCTAATAGGAGACATTAAGAGCAGCACAGAAAAAAAGAGAAAACTGTGGAAGGCCGAGTTATTACCAGTAAAACCAATTCTACCGACCAGGGGCATAACAGCAGCTTCAGATGTGAATGTAGTGTAACTACCAGATGTAGTCACTGGAACAATCTGAAACTGAACCAAATGTCATGATTTTACTATGCTTCTGATAGTGGTGGATGTTTCTCTATAAAGCTCAATTTCCTGATAACAAATTATTTATTTCTTTATCACAGGTTCAACTGTAAAACAAACCCAAAAAATCAGATCTATTTCTAGCTCTTGTTGTTACCAGGGAAAATCCGAGAGCAATAATCCTCAGAAAGCTCTGAAATAAATGCAAAATGTTACAGTTATTTGCAAGTTTAGGAGGGTCATCATTTTCATGCAAGGCTGGCAATACAGGGTAGGTTTTAATCTTTTTTGCGAGGTTTCAGGTTACTCATCGGTTTACTGAGACCTGAGCGCTGAACAGGATGGGATAGTGACCCTGCAGGACAATGCAGACTTCAAACTTGCTATCCATTACTCCTCCATTTAGCAAATACACCCATGAGCCAGTGGCAAAGGGAGCTGTACAACCCAGTGTTGTTCACAGCCACTTCTCTGCCAGGCAGGCTCCACCGATGAGCAAAAACATATGAGAGAAGTGATAACTTCAGTGAGAGACTTCTGTCAGTTTAGAGATTCTATTTTTCCACAGAATCACAGAATGGTTGAGCTTGGAAGAGACTTCTGGAGGTCATCTAGTCCAGGCCCCCTACGCAAGCAAGGATACCTACAGGTGGTTGTCCAGGGCCATGTTCAGACAGCTTTTGAATATTTCCAAGGATGGTGACTCCACAGCCCCTCTGGGCAACCCATGCCAGTGCTCAGTCACCCCCACAATAAAAAAGTGTTTCCTGGTGTTCAGAGGGAACCTCCTGTGTTTCAGTTTGTGCCCATTGCTTCTGGTCCTGTCACTTGGCAGCACTGAAAAGAGCCTGGCTCCATCATCTTTGCACCCTCCCTTCAGGTATTTACATGCATTAATAAGATCCCCCTCAGCCTGTTCTCCAAGCTAAACAGTCCCAGCTCACTCAGTCTTTCCGCATATATTAGATGCTCCAGTCCCTTAATCATCCTTGTGGCCCTTCATTGGACTCCCTCCAGTATGTCTATGTCTCTCTTGTACTGAGGAGCCCAGAACTGGACACAGTGCTCCAGGTCTGGCCTCACCAGCATTGAATAAAGGGGAATGATCACCTCCCTTGACCTGCTGGTAATACTTTGTCTAATGCAGCCAAGGATATCAGTTGCCTTCTTTGTAGCAAGGGCACGTTGCTGGTTCATGTTCAACTTGAAGTCCACCAAGACTCCCAGGTCCTTTTCTGCAAAGCTGCTTTCCAGCTGGGCAGCCCCCAGCATATACTCGTTTCTCCTGGCGGTACCATTTGTGCTTACATGGAATAACATTAGGAGGTAGAAATCAAAGGGCTACATAAGCTTTGGAAGTCCCTCCACAGCGTCCTGGATCCTGGCCCCTGCCAGGCAGCAAACCTCTCTAGGTGATTGGTCGGGCCTATAGATGGGTGCCTCTGTCCCCCGCAGCAGGGAGTCCCCCATTGCAATGACTCACCATTTCCTCCTGGTAGCCTTGCATGGTTTACAGTTAGGTGAACCAGGTCCTTTTTTAGTAGGAACATCTGGCTCCTCTTCAATTTTGAGGGTAGTGAACCTACTTTGCAGCTGCAAGTTCTTAGGTGGGACAGGAGCCTTTCTCTTGGTACTAGAAGTCATCAACTTCCATCCTTCCTCTTCTCCGGAGGTTTAGCTTACTTTGATAGTGGGGGTAGACACCTCCTGCTTCTCCATTGCAGCTGGGGACTGAGGTTCTTCAAGCTGTTGTGTCTCAGAGAAAAGACCCTATCTATCTCCCTTTCATTTTCTCTGATGCTGTGCAGCCTGCTCACTTCCTCCCATATCTCCTCCACTTGCCAGCACAGCTCCTCCAGGACGGTGCACCTCCTGCAGGGCAGATGGACATCTCTCCTGGCCTCAGAGAGAGGTCCCAGGCACTTCCTGCAGTCTGGGACTTGGAGGGCTGCATCCACCATCTGCTCAGTCTGCGTGGAAGCCTCTGCCCTAGCAGGGACAGCTGCTCCCACATCTGTGGGGGAAACTGCCCTGTTACCACCATGTCTAAGACTGTTACAGCAGCGCAATTTCAACTGAGGCCTCCTTACTTTGCTCCTTCTTCACAGCCTGCTGCACAAACTGCTGGGTCTGTTGGCTGTGCTCTGGGCCTGGCTCTTAGACAGGTCCCTCCAGAGCACCAGTTAAAGGGTGCTTGACCCTCCCTAATCAGAGCGAGCTGCATCAAAGGCTCCAGGCACCCTGGGTCAGGGGCAGCTGATCACAATCGTTAGTAGCTGCTAGAGCTTCTTTGGGCCCACACCCTTGTGGCTCCCCTTACCTTGTCCTTGCCTGACAGCAAGGATTTGCAAATATATAGCATGGGGGCTACATGTTTCCAGGCTCCCTTCCAAATGGGTAGCCCTGAGCAATCGTCTCTGGGAACCAAACTCGAGTGGGTAGCGTCCCGCTGGGGAGCTGCCAGGACCCATTGAGGATCACCCGAGGGGGTGCTTCTGACTAGAGACTGAGGGGCTTGCAGCCTGCAAAATGCAAAATCTCCAGGAGAAAAAAATGGGGTGAAATAGGTGTATGAGGCTGTTTCGGGGGGAATTAAAAAAATGTTCTACAAGCAAAAGCAGGGGCATTGGCCTAATACTGAAGACCAGACTTCATGTCTCATGAAGTTCAACTCACAATGCACGAGTCTGAGAAGGCACCAAAGGCAGCTATGATGGATAGTTCATCTTCTGCAGAGCTATACTTTCCTTAAGCTTCTCAAGGGTTAGGCAGACATGTGGCTAACAAAATCCTTTGCAAAGCTCATGTATACTAAGTTACTGCTTTCTCATCCATTGAGGGTCAGGACTTGGAAGTGAGGGCACCCCTGGCATCAGGCCCATACGGTAGGCTTCATTTCATCCTTAGAGCAGAACTGGTACAGCCTGTGGCAGTCTCACCACTTGGCCTGGCCCATAAGCAAGATCTCGTTTGGATATTGATGTTGTCCACAGTCTTCTATGATTACAAGGACACAACCCGAACATATGACCTCTTCAACTCATCAGTAACTTTGACGTAACTTCAATTATACTTACGAGAGCGTTGCCATCAGCTTCCATGAATGGTTTCAAAGCTTAGTGGGAAAGCTGTAAAAAGAGAAAGTTTTGTTTACTTAAGTTCTGTATTATATTTTCATATAACATAAGTCTTGGCAGTAGAGTAAAAAAATGTGTTAATATGCTTTGGCCTGCCAACTTTACCCTCCTCACTCCACGCACTCCCTCAAAAAAAAAAAAAAAAAAAAAGACTTTTTCCAAAGATAATGCTATGTCATGTGAACTGATTTTACTGATTTAGAAGTCAACCAGTGATAAGGAACACTAACTCAAAGCTATCCAAGCTTTTCTATGAAATAAACAGAATAAAGGTCATGGATGTGACTGGGGGGATTGCTTTTTGTTTGATTAGGTTGGGTTTTGGGGCTGGGTGGGTTGGGTTGTTTTTTTAGGACATGCATAGAGAATAAATAAGTAAAACTGGGAGTGGTTTGGGGGTTTTTTTGTTGTTCATTTTGGTTTTTACTTGGAAAGAAATCTATAAGATTTTTATTTCTGCTTCAGCTGAGTAATTCCCACTGTTTTCTGGGAATTCTAATCAGGTAGTCTCTGCCAGCTCTCCTGAACGGGATGAGATCTCATACTGGACTACTCATTTCATAATGAATTGCAATTTTCCATTCTGGAGAGCAAAATCTGTGCAGTGCAACAGTAGTCACCAGGGTTTACTTTCCAAAGACACACAAAGTTAGTAGTTATCCATTTAGGTGACAGCTCAAGTGATTTCATTTGGTATACACAACCAGTAGTCAACTCCCTACATGATTTTCCTTCGGCTGGTAGAATGGACAGATGATGAAAGAATCAGTGGAGTGTACAAGATGAAGGAAAACATACCAGATTTTTAGTCCCAGAAAAGTTCCTATAAAACTCACCCCTCTGTGTATGAAAGAATCATTGAGTGAAATGGGAGAGGATACAAGACTGTTGAAGTGAGCAAAAAAGGATTTCCAGAAATAGAGCCACACTTCAGAAGAATTTCTAGCAAGAACTTTTTCCTGTTACTAAAACCAGTAATTTAAGATATGTGTCGTTCCTCATACATAATATTTGGTTTAGTTTGAAAATAAAATCTTAAAACAGAAAATAAAAACCCACCTACTGGCTTCCAGCAATTTCAAACCAAAAATAGAAAGGCAAACAAATACGTATTTTTCTGGCTCCCAACTGTTTCTGTTCAAAAATAGAAAGAAGCACTTTCTATAAGTGGCTCAAATTGAAGTAATATCATGATGAGGAGAGATGTTATGGCAAATAATTGCAAGGATGTTTAGAAATCATAGTTAGCATAAACAAACAGAGGAAACACCTTTAGTTATACAAGCAAATTAACATCAAGTCTCAAACACCAAGCCAGAAAGCACAGGAATAACAGACCAAATTGTAGTCGTTATTGTGACATGTGGCCTTTTTCCTGTCATTTCTTCATTTCATGTGTGCTTTGGGTTTGGGGAGGGTGGGGTGTAATTATACAAACTGCACAGATTTGAATCAGCCACAGTACCAGGAGCAAGAGGAGAAGTGTTAGTTAACTGGCAAGGAAACATTTCCGCCTGCGTGCTTTGTGCCAAAGGAGTTGAAATGGAACTCAGCAGAACCTTCTCAGTGACTTTAACTCAAACTTTTGTTTAGTTTTCAGAAACTGGATAAGCAATCTTTGAGCCAGCATCCAATTTTCAAAAGCAGCATTGACTTCTGTCTCATTCTGGTTAAAAGTATAATTTATTATTCCCTGTGTAAAGAAAGACATAAAAAAAAAAAAAAAATCACACGTTCACTGCAGAAATAACTCTCATACACATAACCTGAGTTTATTTCTCCTAAGTAAACCCAGCCTGAGTGAGATTAGTTACACTGTGAAATAGCACCAGGATTTTTATGTCCACTCAAGTGTACTCAACTGTTGCAAAACAAACATTTCAGAAGGGCATAACCTGTTTATCTCTGCACTACAGTAAAATAAGTGTTTCCTTTCAATCTTCTGCAGGTGCACTGTGGGAAAACTATTTATCCTTTCTGAAGAGACAAGTGAATTAGGAGAAGGAGCTGGATAAATACGGCCACTGAAGTAGAGCTAGTCGATACCCACCTTACTGGATGGTCCAGCATGAACCTGCAGGGGCTGTCTCTGAGAACCATAGCCCCCCACCTCCCAATATTCCCCTCCCACAGGCTGCACTTAGCAACTCCTGCTGAGCTGTGCCCCTTGTGTGTCCTCTGTGCGATGGTAGGTAGTCACACCATGGCAGCCCAGGAGTGTGCCCAGGGCTGGTGGTTTTGCTGGCGGAAGAGTTTACCAGCCCACAAAATCTACACCTGAGCTCGGGAGCTTGGCAAGCCAGCAAGAGGTTAGTAGGAGACAACACTTGAGTTCATACCACCAGGAAGGTGACCCGATTCCTAACTGGAACAGCTGCAGCAGGAGAAGACCTGGCCCAGACCACCTTGTTTCATAGGATTCAGGGTGCTATATTACAGACTGGAGACACCCATGTGTGTATCCTTGTCTTGACTCAGGTGGACACTGAATTTGAATTGGGGTCTCCCCCCCAAAGGTGAGAGACCTAAGCACCAAGGTGAGGATGTGGGATTCCAACCCTCTTCCTAAACCTCTCCATTTGCAACGAGATAAGATCTAGGAATAGGAGGAGAGGGAAACCCTCCAGCCTACAGATTAAGGCACCTACATGGAAAACATACACCGGGATTGCAGTCTGCTGTGATGGATGTTCAATTCACTAAAATTGCGAAGTGGAACAAACCAAAGAGAGAAAATAAAACGAGGCACAGTGAAACCTCTCCTACTTCAAATGGCTTTATAAAGGAGAAAGAAAGCTCGAATATCTCACTTCCTGGAGGATAAAACATAAATGTATCTACTGGATAAAAGCAAAGGGGATGGATTTACATTATCCATTTGTAAACCATACATACATTTCTTTGGCTTTTCTTAGAGGTGCCTGAAACAACTCATTTAATTTCAGTCTGAATTGAATACAATATGTCAAAAGTGGTTTCAGCTAAAAGATTTCTAATTCAAGTTTTTGAGGATTTTTTATTTTGATTCAACAACCGAACTATAAATATCAGGTTGTATAGCTTTATTAGTCCCACTTCACTCCTGCTCTTTCAAGAAGAGTAATAAACAAGTAGGTACATGAGTAATAGCTGATGCAACAAATGTGGAAACACAGCAAGTCACTTATCAGAAATATCTTGCAATCATTTCCATCTGACTACATCATCTCTTCCAAAATAAATCTAAATATCTCTGTTAAAAATCAAAGACAATGTTAAGGGTGGAAAAAAGGGGGGAAAAAAAACCACCGAGATTCCAATGATTCTAATTAAAAAGCAATCTTAATTCATTAGTAATATTCCTCTTGTGGAAGTCAAAATCCACAAGGCTAGACACTGTCTCTTACCAGTTACAAGCTACAGTGTTGACTGCATGTCGATCTACAATGATATTGGTATAAACCTGCCAGACATGCCTTCCAGGCATCCCTCAGATGACATCCAGAGTGGGCATATGCCTTCCTGCCTCTGAGCAAAATATTTGAGATATGTAACATGACTCAAACTATCTGTGTTGCAGAAGCACCCAAAATGCGCGTAGCTCAGTTCCTGTTCAGATGGCATTGACACAGACTACTCAAAAATTCCGCTTTCCCAAGCACTAAGTCAGGGCTATAAAACAACCTGGAAAATAAGCTTTTTGCCTTCCTTCTATTTACATTTCTCACACAGGTCACCAGCTTTAACCTCTCTGCTTGATTTCTGTTTATTTGGCTGCCTGCAACAATGTGCGCTTCAATAGGCAACGAATTGACAGGCAATATGAAAGTAGGGATAGTGCTACAAAAATTTCCCTAAAAAATCAATGATTACTTAATCACATATCTCACTTACCAGGCATTAGGAATAGCATTGCCCCAAATCATAGCAACGCTTGAAGCACTGTCCTGTGTCAAGGAGACACCCTTATATAATAGTCCTAAATTATCACATTACCTCTAACTGGGGCTCTTGCAACGATGCAGGGGAAAAATAATCACAGTAATTGTAAGCTCATAATTGTCCTTTGGGTTACTAGAGAACAATTTAATCTGACAGAACCTTACCATTAATTACTAACTAATGAGATCTAGTCAGTTACTTAACTGGCTAATTAGCTATCTAAATTAACTATCTTACTAGCACAAGGAGTTTCTTGATCTGCAGATTACTGGCTCATCAGGAAAGTCAGATATTAAGCTGGGGCTGTGCCATGGGGCAATGACAAACAGACATTAAGGCACTTTTCACAAAAGCTCATGGACCGTCCCACCCCGATTGAGTTATGTCCCACCCACCTTGGTCCCCATGACTTCATGTTTCCAACTGCAGATGAAACTACAGATTCATCATTAGCATCGGAAAAAAAACAGTCCATTAAAGTATAATCATAAGTCATAATTGTCAGAGTATACCTTCAGCTTTCACCACAATGGACAAATATAAGCTTGTTATATAAAAATTACACTTTGAAAAGTCAAAAGGGTTCTTGTCACAGGCCTAGCAGCAAGAAAATGCATTTGTCACATTGTAATACCATTGGTTATAACCTTACTTTCAAATGCATTTGAAGTTATTCAATCCCCTCACCTGCAAGCAATTCAAAAAAGACAACTTCTGACTCCATTTGGGAGAGGGCGAGGAAAAACTGGAACAAAGTTCACTGCTCCCGTCTCGGAGACAGAAAGGGTCTGGAGACATCGCCCTGCTTGGATCACAGCCAGGTCCTGTCAGTCCAGCCAGGAAGCCCAAGAGCAGCAGGTTCCAGATGTTGACAGCTCTGAGCAAGCAGTTGCAGGAGCCCACGCTCACTGCCTTCAGGAGGAGAGGGGCTGGAAAGAAAAAAGATGTTCCACAGAAAAGAGATGCTCCAGCTGCCTCTGTGGCCTCACAGACAAAAACAAGAAATCAAAATGGTATGCTTAGTGAAGTGTGTCTGCCTCAAATGTGAGGTTGCATG